AAATAAATAAATAAAATAAAACAAAAAATAAAAAAATAAAAAAAATCAATAAAAAAATAAATTATAAAAAAATAAAATAAAGTAAAAAAAAGACGACGTCAAAATTGTGCTTAGCGACTTCAACGCCTGGGTAGGAAAAAATTAAATATATTTCTCCTTATTTCGATTATTACTATTTGTAGACAAACGTATGTTTTATTAGAGCAGTTAATCTCTTTGGTTCCAAGGTTTTTATTTTAGTAGTTGATTGAACAGTTCTTTTTTTAATATTGATTTATATATATATATCATATTTATTTATATATATAATAGGCGCTTTTTAACTGCTGTGATCTGAGTTTTGGCCTTTTCCAACAAATTGAACAGTTTGTAGTAAGCCCCCTCTGAACCGCTTTTAATTCATTTAAAATTTTCGATGTTGGTCGGAGCAGGACTCGAATATTGTTCTTCTGAACGACAGTACGAAATGCTAATGATTCGGCTACCGCGGCCTCTATATTTCTTCAATCAATACAAATAATCCCCCCTGGGCGCACTTAACAGTAGGTTGATCAGAATCCTCGTCCTACTTTTCCGCACACTGCTTCGTATGCTTGTAGGAGGCGCAGTAAGGATGGGCGCACGCTGAGACATCCTCGATCAAGGAAAGATTCTCCAATTCATTAGGAGAGCTGTCTTCAAAGATTGCCTTTAAATTAAATTGAGTTAAAGAATTTAAATCTCGAACGGGGTACTATAGCTTTACGTCTTACCTGAACAATACGTACGCACATAAGTTGCAATGTGCAAGTATACCTCGCCTATATATTTAGCCGAGATAAACATGCTTGAAGGGATATGTAATTCTGATCGACGCCACAGACATTTGCTTATTGTAATTGGCGACCATATGGTCATTCTGGTACTATATGCAACCAGTTTTACACGGTATGGAATAGGGGAAGACACCTCTAAGAGCCAAGTAAGCACGACTCCGCAACATCTCTAAGAGCTACTGCAGTTATACATGGGAGACCATGCTGGCTATTCAGGCGATGCTCTCTTCAAAAAGTGTTACCAACATGACTTTGAAAGCGAAACACTGAAATTACCAGCAAATATCCAGCTTCGAATCTGGTTTAACTTTGGTGCCGATAAAGTCAGCATTCGCAGTAGTTCTAGTACTTGTAGTGCTCATAATATGTATGTATCTACATACTAAATATACAACTTGCACGGTGGCATGGTACGCATTAAACTATTTGCACAAAGGCGTAATTATATGCCCGTTTATATGTGTGTATTCCAGGTAATAAAGTAATTCCTTTACTGTGATATTCTTCCAACAAAAGGAGTGACAGGAACCCTGTAGTGCAGCAACAAAAGTAAGTGGCAGACAGTGCAACTAAATAATGATGGTAAAACAAAAGAGCGCGACCACCAAAGCAAGCAGGGAGGAATATGTAAAAATTCTACTATTCCATCTAATCAAAAACAAAGCTAAAGTTGAGCTGGAGAAGTTAGCGGGTGACGCCATCATACAGGACTTACTATTACGTGCAGCTGAAGAGCAGCAAGGAAGCCAGAAAGCTGAGGTGTCGTCAAATGCGCAAGTTTCTTGATGCAACTTTGCAAATGAAATGAGCACGACGCAGACAGGAAGCCAACAATGATGCCCCCCGCCAGTGAAAACTATCATAACTGGCACTCGGCGCCGTGTTAAACGTATGAATATTAGTTAGCTCTAGTTTGTTGTTGCCTGTGAAATTAGCAAAGTTTTAACCACCGTTATGGCTTGCCTCGCTTTGGCTTCATTTCTTCCTGCTTTCCTTTGTCTTCGGCCACATTTGAGTGATTACGTATTTGCGTTTTGGCTCGTTTGTGTTTTCACTGAATGCAGGTTATGTGCCACAAAGAAAAAGATGGAGGAAGAATGTGGTTATAATGAGTTCAAATAAGTATAAGTCAGAATAATAATAAAGTATGAATCTTTTTTGTTCGTTAACGTCAATTTTTTTTTTTTTTTGTCCAACTGCAATTGTGGAAGTTTGACAATTTCATGGAATTGCGGCCAAATTATTGACAGTTCTTGGAGTTGCTTAATTATTTTATCCAAGATAACTACAATAGATGAAACTGAGATAATAAAGTTAAAAGGAGTTGGAGCTAGTTGCATATACATACATACTATATATATATATATATGTCAGCCACATTAGCCGAGTAGTTAGCAGTGTATACAGCCAAGCGGATTCGAAACCCGGCCATCTCTCGGGAGGAAATATCAACCCCTTGGAAAAATTTCCACGACACAAATTACAAATTAGGGGAAGAGCGGCAGAAAATGTTTTCAGTGGTCATGCGAAGCCAATTATTTATGTAAAAATAAAAAAATTAAATAAACTTTCGGATAAAACGGTTTGAAAAGCTGAATAATATAAAATAAAATATATAAAAAAAAAACAAAAAAATTTAAATAATTAAATTAAAACTGAAAATGAAATAAATTTCATTCAAATAAAAGACATTATATTAAATTTATAAATGAAAAGATAAATTAAACTAAATTAATTTTAATTCATAAATAAAATAGTAAATTAAATTAAATCATATTGTATGTATATATAACACAAAAAAATTAATTACAGTAAAATAAAATAAATTAGAGTAAAAAAATAAAAATGGAAGAAATTAAAATTAATTATATTTAAATAGCGATTGAAAAGCTTAATAAAATTTAATTCATATAACAAAGCATTTAATATATAATATAATATATACATATATAAATCATAATAAAATAAAATTAAATTAAATGAAATCATTTGAAATTAAATTTAATTCCTAAACAAAATAATAAATTAAATTAAATTATATAAGCATAATATATAAAATACAGAAAAAAATATAAATTATTTAATTTAAATTAAATAATTAAAAATAAATAAAATTTAAATAAAAAACGAAATAAATTTTAAAAGGAATTAAATTAAAATTGCGTTTTAAATTAAATTATATTCACATAACATAAAGTGAATATATATACATACACAAAATTAATTAAATTAAGTGTATAATATATAATATACAATATATATAAAACAAAAAAATAAAATTAACTAAAATAAAACTAAACATTAAATAAATTCAATTTAAGTAAAAGAAATCAAATAAGCTAATCTAAATTCCATTGATAAATTGAATAATAAATAATATTAAATTATATAAGAATATAGTATAATTATCAAATAAATATATGTTATAAAAAAATTTAAATTAAATAAAAAATAAAAAAATTAAAATAAAACAAGTTATACAGTATTATAAGATTAAAATCATTTCATAAAAATAAATTAAATTAAACTAAAATAAAAAATTGAATAAAACAAATTAAAATAAGATAAATCATATTAAAATAAAGACTGAAAAGCTAAATTAATTATTAACATAATATAAAGTAAATATATAAGCAATACATACATAACGTAAATTAACTTAAGTATAAAATATATATAGTATATAACATAAAATATATTTACATATATAACAAATTAAAATAAAGTTGAAAATGAAAATGAAATAAATTTAATAAAAATAAATAAATTAAACTAGATTAAATAAATGAAATCAAATCAAATTAAAATAAAATAAACCAAATTAAAATCAAGATTGAAAAGCTAAAAATATATACGTATATGAAGCAAATTATATTAATTATATAATATATAATATACATATAAAATGAATTAAAATGAAATAAGATAAATAAAATAGTAAAAAAATTAATGTATATAAGTATATAATATATATATTTAATAATAATATAATACATAACACAAAAAAAAATAAAATTAAAAAAAATCAAATTAAATTAAATAGAGTAAAACAAAATTAAAATAAATTAATGAAAATTGATTAATTTAAATTAAAATTAAAATAATTAGAATAAAATTAATTTAAATCATATAAATAGAAATTAATTAATTAAAATAAGAAAAAAAATTAATTTAAAAAATTAAAATAATTGTAACAAAATGAAATAAAATTAATAAATGAAAATTAATTGATTAAAATAAAAAATAAAATTGAATAAAATGAAATAAAATTAATTGAAGCAAAATAAATTTAAATTAAATAAAAGTTTAATTAATTAAAATAAGAAATAAAATAAATTTAATTAGAGCAAAATAAATTTTAATTAAATAAATGGAAATGAAAAAGAAATTAAATTAAAATTACGCTTGAAAACGAAAATTAAATTAAATTTGAATCAATTAATAAATAATTTGTTATTTTGTTTTATATATCTATATATATATCGGCCGAACTTATCCTCCAATTATTGGTATGCGTCTTGATGTTTTTTTCAACAAATGGAGGGGCCTACAGTTTATACTACTGAACCGTCTCCGAACAGAAAATGGTTTTTTATGAAGAGCCTTTATTTCATGCTTTTGCATTTTAAAATTTTCCTTTTACTATATTTTTTGCATTGAATTAATTATTCATACACTTTTTCTTTCGAGGATGGATATTTCAGTGATTAATTAAAATAAAAAACACACACAAATACACACGCACACTCACTCGTATGTGAAAAGAATTCTGCAAATTTTACATTTTCTTCAATTCTCTGCAACAACTCGAACAGAGTTGTAAAGTAATGTATTCCAACGAAATGCGAAGTAGTAATGGAATTGAAATACGAACTTTATAATTGATCAAATTGAAAAGTGGCAGTTAAAAGACGACAACACTTTGGATGGGCAAAAACAACGTAAGGCATTTAATTAAATTGCATTAAATAATTGCACAGGTTACAATTTCTTGAAAAAGAAATTGCTGCAAAATGTAGGTCTCAAACATATACGTACGCAAATGACGTCAAATGCGCAGATAAAAAAATCAAAAAAAAATATTATTATGTATAAAGTGGTGTGGACCATTTATATGAGTATTTAAAAAGTAAAATCTTTTAATGTCATTAATGAAATTTGTATTTCCAACTCTTTTCATTGCAGAAAATGCGTCAATTCCAAAAAACGCTGGAGGACCTCACCTCACGTGTCGCCTCTGCTGAAGCCACAAAGACATCATGGCAGACACCGGCCTCCGCACAGGAAGCCACAGAACAAATGCAACACCTGCAGCGTTTGCGCGACAAAATGACCACCGCCGGTGCTTTGTTGGACGACTGCAATGAACAGCAGGCGTTCTTCACCGCCAATCAAGTTTTGGTGCCCGCTGTTTGTCTGTCAAGGCTAGAAGATTTGAACACAAGGTGAGCGCGAAATAAACATATATTTGTTATTTACGGTTATATGAAAGGAAACATTTGAGAAATTTCCGACTACCTGTTTATGGTTAGACTATTACTATTACAGATACTTTAAGAAAAAAATATTCGTATGCAATATCACGTGTGGCCTACTGCTCTGTACGCCTTATCTTCTTTCTCCTTTGGCGTAGACACAATTGAAAATATCAAGCACAGTCAAATCTTTCTCCAACTGGTCTTTCCATAGGAGTGTAGGTGTTCCTTTTCCTTTTACTCTGCGGTGAGTACTACATCGAAAATCTTCAAGGTCGGAGTATTCTTATCCATCCTGACAACATGACCTAGCCAGTTAGCCGCTGTTTCTTGATTTGTTGAACTATGTCAACGTCGCCGTATATCTCTTACACGTGATGACCTATTCCATCGACTGTCGTATTCGCCAGTGGCAATGCATAGACAACCATAAATTTTAAGCAAAATCTTTACATCAAAAACTCCTAAGGCCTTTATAGAAGATTATACCTTCTCCATTCAAATCTAAAGGTCCAGCAATTTCTCCAGAAATTACCATAATCTGAAACCTCAATACTTATCAAACGGCTGGGTGAGGTTCTTTCCGATCCTGAACTTTCGATGTTGCTGACCATCAGTTCACACAGCCGTATAAGTTTTGCAGTTCAACCAAATTCAGACACAGCAGCGTATCGGCATTTTGTTTTCTGCTGCCGAGGGCTGATTTAAAATCGAGCAGAAGCCTATGTGTGCCGAGTTTCTTTTCACGGACCTTATTCAAGATTTGACGTGTGGTGAAGCCTAACTGATAAGGTCCAATGAGTTTGGTTGACGGTGGTCTTTAGTCTTTCACACTTTACGCTAGATAGGACCTTATATCCGACCGTGGTGTTCCGCTTTTAGTTGATTGGGCAGAGCAGTCCTAGGTTCGTCGGGTAAGCTTTCATGCGACCATATTTTGCAAAGAAGCTGATGCATGCAACTTTCCAGCACTTCACCGCCGTATTTGAATAGCTCGACCGAAAATCCGTCCAATCTTCACAGTCGGGCTATGGTAGATCTGTTTCTTCGTCATTAATTGGGGAATCGGGTTCACCATCTTCTGGTACTTTATTTTCACTTTGAAGGCTCGACCGACAATCCATCCAATCTTCACAGTCGGGCTATGATAGATCATTTCCTTTGTCATTGTTTGGGGAATCGGGCTCGCCATCTTCTGGTACTTTATTTTCACTTCCAATCAGCAGACTGAGAAGTGTCGCCTTCATAAATTCAGTACAATACGGACATCAGTCACTAGATCACCTCTGTGCGTGCTGCAATAATTTGCTCCCGTAATGCATCTTTCTGTGGGTCACTATATCTTTTTGTAAAACTTTCGAGGCCTACCCTCGCCTTTCCGCTTCTCCAGCTCCTCATACTCAGGCATCTCGTCCTCTTTCTTTTATTGTCTGGTAAACTACTTTGGTTGCTTGGTTGAAAATCGTAGCCGGCCATCAGCTCAACTAGGTCCCAAACGGGCACTACTTGATACCACTGAGGATTCTAATAACTCCCACCCGCTAATTATAACAACGAGTTTGCCAAACTGAGCAGTCACCGGTTCTAGGACCCCCCTATTTCGCTTAAGTCTCAAGTGGTTGCCGCCGCTAGAGATTCAGATTTACCCCTCGTGCGTGAAGTGCGTGTCAATAACAAAGGGAGGCTTCAGGTTTCTCTTCTTGTCTACAACTTTTGCAAAAGTCGTTAGATCGCACACCCACCAATTCCGCCTGAAAAACACTGCAATGATCCAGTTAACGAAATGCCAAGATGGCTTGAGTAGACTCCGCCACTGACCCTGTTATCTATTTCGAATCGGTGCTTGCTGGTATTATAGTGTCGAATTGCTTTCTGTCCGTGATAACTATCTTGAAATCTGTCGTGAAGTCAGTGAATGTTATACAGTAATGGTTTTTTTCTGAGAGACGAAATCTTCTTGAGATGTCAAAATGCTTGTGGTCTATTGCTATCCATTCCAACACCTTTTGTAGTCTTACCGTGACACAAGCAGCGTTATGCAACCCCATAGTGTCGATGGGGAATGGATCTGAGAGGACATTCATAGCCTCAGTTGGTGTGTGCGAAGTGCTCCGCTAATATATGTACAAGAGCGCTGTCCTCTGCGCTCTATTGATTGATTTTGATTTTCTATCGAGTGCTGACTACCAAACTCCGTAGAAAAGTATAGGCCTTGCAACTGCTACCTAAAGCCAACGCACTATTTTATATGAATCGCCCCATTTCTTATCGCATCTTTGAAGGTATAGAGGATAATGGACGGCTTACGCATCCTTTCCTCCGAGTTAATTTCCTCTCCAGTACGAGACCCAAATAGTTTAAAGATTCAGTAATGCGCAGCTCCGTTCCTGAGAGCACAGGTGTTGAGAACTGCTTTACGTTTTATTAAGCGCAAACAAAAAAAGATTTGTTGGCTGTTGTCTTGAAAACATTGTCCTTGACACAGAGTATAAAAATATGTAAATTAGTTTTATGCGAAAATATTGACGTAGCTTACGTGGGATTAATAAAAAATTTAATTAAGTATTAAATCCGGTTTCGACTATATTTTTTCAGAATGAAACTTTTACAAATCGCCATGGATGAACGACAAAAGACACTATGCAATGCTGGTGCTAATCAGGCTTTGGAAAATGGTGATGATGGACGCACAACATCGAATAGTGGCACAATTGGGCCATTACCAAATCTGGGTCAAAGCGTAAAACCACCCTGGGAACGTGCAACGACAGCTGCCAATGTGCCTTACTACATAGAGTGAGTATAGACATATGTGTAGTTAAGAAACATACAAGGTGTGACAATGAAGTAATGAGACTGATTCCATAACAAACGTATATATCAAAATTATTCCACAACTCTGCCATCTCCTTCAAAATAACCACTTTTGGCAGCTATACAACAATTCCAGCGCGTTTTCCATGCTTCGCAACGTTTCTGGAACGCTTCAACTGGGATGTCCGCGAGTACCCCCGCCACGACCGCCTGGATGTCCTCAATTGACTCAAAATGAGTTCCTTTGACCACCGATTTTGTTTCTAGGGAACAAAAAAGGCACAGAGTGACTTATCAGATGAATAAAGCGGTTGTTGCAACATCCCTTTAAAGACCAAATACTGGCACACGGTGAGGGCGGTGTGGCACGATGCGTTGTCGTGATTAAGGATCCAGTTTCGAGCGATGTCTGGGCGCTCCTATTTACTCGTTTTCGCAATCTTTCGAATAATTGGCGATAGTAGACTTGATTTACGGTTTGCCTCGGTGAAAGAAATTCTTTGTGGACGATTCCACGGCTATCAAAAAGGCAATAAACATCGTTTTTAACCTCGTCTTTCTCATGCGTGCTTTATGCGGGCGGGGGGTGTGCGAAGACAACATTGTGACCTGTGGCGTTTGGAGAAGGATGCCGGGAGTAGGAAAAGGGAATTTAAAGGTCGTGGGATTACCACAATCGCGGCAATACAATCAGTCTCATTACTTAATTGTCACAAATCGTAGGGATATGGATTTTCTAACTGTCGTCGTGTAATACTTTCTGTTAACTCATTTATCGCCTGCTGCGAGCTAACATTCCTTTAACATAATAAATAAGAGGAACTTTTGCAGAGTTCGCTTAGCCTGATAAAGAATTATTGCCTTTCCATCCGCATGCGCGTACTGAATCGAATATCTTTTACGTTACGGAAGTGTTCTTATCTATCGGGACCCGTTGATCCAGCTAGCGTAGCCGCTATCTCTTAATTCCTTGAACTCTGTCAATTTCTTCGTATGTCCCGTACAACTGATCGTTCAATAGAGTGCGGTGCTCGGTGATGCACCTGCGTAAAGGCCTAATGAAGGCCGCTTTTAAATCGACGAAGAGATGGTTTGTGTCGATGGTCTTTTAACGGGTCTTTTCTTAAATCCAATTGTAGATTTCCCCGATCTAAAATCAAACTGATAAAATCCAAACAATTTGTATACGGTGGACGTTAGTCTTTCACAAAATGTCATCGATAGGACCTTATTTGAGGTACTGGAGATACTTGTTCCACGGTTATCGGCGGCCTTTTTTTATGGATTAGGCAGAGCAGGTTTAAATTCCAATTGTCGTTCATGCTTTCGTCCGAAGATATTCCGCAAAGAAGCTGATGCTCGCACCTTGAAATAGTTCAGCCGGTATCCCATCGGCTCCGTTAAATCTCGTTAAAGTCCGGTGAAAGAAAAGACGTTCCAGTTCACCATCTCCGGGTTTTGCCTTTTCATTGTCATTAAGCGGAATGGAGACATTTTCCCTCCATAAACTCAGTGTCTCATCCGAAGCATTGTTTGAACTTTTGATTGTAGCTGGTGTCTACACGGCCGTCGTCAAACCCAGCGCTAAACTTCGCCAGGCGAATAAGTTTAAGTTGTGTAGACTTTTAGATTGCAAGCCGCTTGTTTGAACACCGACGTCTGCTCGCAGCCGCACCTCTGGTGGACAGTCGTTGCAATTAGGCTTCAGCAAACCTTTAAACCAAGTTTTTCGAAGCTTCCTCTGTTTTATCTGTGACCCAACGCTCCACCGCATCTTGCGCATGGGTTGCTCATGTTTCTAGTGAACGTGACGCTGTCGCAAGAATAGGAGGACTGTCTTGACTATACCCCATAACAGTGACAATAATACCAAAAGTAAATTATTATTGTAAAAACTATTTTCCTCGAATCTCTTTCTATCACTAATGGTTCAATATACAGGTTTAAGCTGTTGATGGATTTTTCGAAACTGATTTCTTAGCATTAAAAAGACTAAAGATACCCACATTCCATAGCTATGGAATAACAAGTTCCTACAACTCTTTAGGACTCACTCTCTCGGAGTGAATGAATTGTTAACCTTTTATTGTTTTCTCTACACCTTTTGCCAGTCACGAACGCGAAACCACCCACTGGGATCATCCGGAAATGATTGAATTGATGAAGAGCTTGGCTGACCTTAACGAAATACGATTCTCCGCCTATCGTACAGCAATGAAGCTGCGCGCCGTACAAAAGCGTTTGGGTAAGTACACTAACAAGAAAAATAAGTAGTCAAGAACCAGTTTCAAAGTGCGAATTGAATTCACACATGAAGCCCGACCGCCAGCACTGAGGCAGCACAACCGAGATTTCACGCAATAATTTAGCTAATTTTACAACTTTGTTTACATTCTTTGCATACACATAAACAAATGTCCACCACACAGCGCTCGATCGCATACCCATGTCCACTGCCATCGAATCCTTCGATCGACATGCTTTACGCGCACAAAACGACAAGCTCATCGATATACCCGATATGACGACCGTCTTGCATTCGCTCTATGTGACAATCGATAAAATTGATTTGACTTTAATGTTGGATTTAGCCATAAACTGGATATTGAATGTTTACGACTCACAGCGTACCGGACAGATACGCGTGCTGAGCTTTAAGGTGGGCGCGAAGACTGTCTTCATGAATAGCGCATAGCATAGTTTTATAAATATTTTCATTGTACATAAATAGGTTGGCTTGATTTTGCTTTGCAAAGGTCATCTTGAGGAGAAATATCGTTATCTCTTCCGTTTGATTGCCGATCCAGAACGGAAAGTGGATCAAAGAAAATTGGGTTTGCTGCTGCACGATTGCATACAGGTACGCCGTTTTAATGCACAAAGTTAATTTCTCTTGCAAATTTATTTAAATAAATCCTTTTTACTGTCATAGGTACCGCGCCAATTGGGCGAAGTTGCCGCCTTTGGTGGCTCAAATATAGAGCCCTCTGTGCGTTCTTGCCTCGAGCGTGCCGGCATCTCACAGGAAGGTAAATTAATGAGAATTTTTCATTTAACACCTACATACATACATACTTGTATATACTTGTATGCTGGCTTCATAAAATATTTACCCATTTACCGTTAATTAATTACATTGTAAATGAATTTTCCGCAATTTTCAAGCTACTCAATCTCAACCAACAACCACTAAGAGTATTTTTGTATTTATATATGTACGCCTCTTTTCAATCTCTTCCGCGCTAACTACAACACAGCCATTGATGCCAATCAGGAAATTGCCATTGAACAATCACACTTCCTTGGCTGGTTGCAACATGAGCCGCAGAGTTTAGTCTGGATGCCGGTGCTACATCGTCTGGCAGCTGCCGAAACGGCCAAACATCAGGTGAGTGCGTAGAGTAGAGACACAACACGTCATTCCCTTGGCAAACCCTCTGTTGGGGAAAGTGGTGATGAGACGCTGCATGGCATACACTTATGACTATATACATATATAATATGTATATGTCCTTCACACCTACTCCAACCGACCTGCTTATGCTGCCAACACTTTGAGCAGTGCATTCTCGTAGCATGCGCAACTGCGGGAATCCATAAAAATCACTAGGCGCCGCGATTTTCACCCATTTAACGGCAATTATTGCACAATTCACCACAATTTGCTGCAGCAGCCCATCATCCACCGGCCCGCTCGCTGCAACTCAGATCTATCCCCTTGCTTTGAGCGCAAACTCTTACATAACTAAATTTTACACACACACATACATACACACTTACATAAACATACACACATCTACCTGGCTTTGCCACAAGTACTAAATCCAATATTTGCATTTCTCGGTACACCTGCACATCGCTCGGTTGTGGCCAAACAATTTGACAACATCTGCCTTCGCACCATCACTGGAATCACTGGAACCACTGATACCCGCGCGCATATAACTTTGTTGTTTTCCATTTTGCCACACAATGACAACACTGGCAACAACAACACAACGATATTGGCAAATTGATGACAACACACAGGCGAAATGTAACATTTGCAAGGAGTATCCGATAATTGGATTCCGTTATCGCTGCCTCAAGTGCTTCAATTTCGATATGTGCCAAAAGTGCTTCTTCTTCGGACGCAATGCCAAAAATCACAAATTGAGTCATCCAATGCACGAGTATTGTACAACGGTAAGTAGAAGTGGAAAGATAAAAAGAAGGATGGAAATAAACGGAAGTGAATAGTAAAAAGAAACTATTTCTTTGAGCGAGTAAAAGAGGGGAGACAAGTAAAATTAGTAGCACTGCAGACAACAAATAAAGAATATTAAGCGGACTCTCTCCTGGTTTTGTATCATAAAATCTATTTTTGTTTTTACGCAAACAATGAGAGACATATTTTTGCGGAGTATGTGTTTAAAGGCATTTTGCAATACGAAGAATATTTTTCAAATGGCAGCTTCTCGAACACACCTGTCTCACGCACGCTGCGAACTTTCAAAAATCTTTGAACGTGTTTTTTATGAAATCAATCCCCAAGCTTGTTCTATCTGTCCGATTTCTTTTAACTAAAACCTGTTTCAAATTATATAGGGTTTTGTATGTCTCGAACCTAAGACTAGCATTAATAATTATTTATATTTTTTTAACCGAAATGAATCAGCAAAAAATTGGACTTTATAATTGCAATAAATTTATTGTTAAAATTTTTTCTTTTGAGGTTCAGGACGCGGAAAATCTCATAATCTTCAAGTAATGACAACGATTTTTGATTTCAGTTTACTTCAAGAGGCTGTAGGCTTAAAGTTGTTGAGCCATTTGCGCGCAAAAGCCGACAAAGAGGCCGGAAAGCGCATTTTTTAAGCCGACATTTTGAATTTCAACCATTTTTTTTTTTTGCAAAATATAGTCACAACCGGAAATTCGTACGCCTCTTCATTCTCCCACAAAAAAAAAAAAAAAACTTTGCCTGATTTTTGTCCAATATCAAGGGAGGGTTGCCTTAATTTCATGTGGAGAGGAACGTTGGATACTCGAATAGTATTCTTTTCGGCCCATAACTTGTTAAATTTCTCTGCAGGACCACGTGTCTTACCAGTAACAAACAGTGTATCAAAACTTTTCAGAGAGCTTTATAGCCCTAAAGAGAAGCAAAAGCCTCAAAAAAAATTTTGAAAAAAATAAATAAAAAGAAACTAAAATTACTCTACAAACCATGATACGAAAATTCCATCCAAATCCATAGCAATAATTTATTATTTTAAAATATATTTGAGCAGTTTGAGGGAGCGTGCGCAGACGATTGGAAAACTAAATATTCAAAGAGAAATTCTTAATGATCTTCTCAATTTTATAAAAAATACTCATAAGACCTGCGTAGATAGGGCCACAGATCTAACGAAGGTTATGGTCAACCTGTTCCCACTGTCGCGCTTCATAACTATAACGAACTAAATATTTATTAACTACAATAAATCGCTGACATTCTTTGGACAGACATACTTTGAGAAAGCAACAGAAACCAACTGGATTAAGTGGAGCGTGAGTTTTCAATTGGTTTTTAGCGGAAAAATTGGTTTTAAGCTTTTACGTAAGACAGATTTTGCTACGTAGACATGCTTTCAATGTTAATCCGAACAAGGTATTAAAGGTATTCGATACATAAACTTACCAATGGATACTTATTCTCTGCTCTGCTGAACTGTGTGAGGACTAGTAAGGAAGACTAGCTAGAAGCTAAACTTTTTCTGAAAAAAGGGAAAAAAATAAATTTAAATTTCAAGCAATTCTATCTGCAAATATTCCAAAAATCGCAACATGGCAACATGGTTTACAATATAATAATTCTTTAAAAATTATAAAATAAATTATTATAATAATTTTAAATTATTGGGACACATTCTTAGTTCTTAGTCAGATCCTACTTTAGTTAAAGAGAGACTCTATAAAAAACAGAATATGCCTTGTTTCCATTCGTACCAACGTCAGAGCCTACTTTATGAAAATGGTTTACTTTACAAAAAAAATCTATTATTCACTGTTTCTTTTGAAAACGATTCTTTTGCAAAAACCTTTAATTATGCTTTCCGCCACTTTTTGTGATAAGTAGGTACAGTGCAACCTCCATATAAGGTACCTTAAGAGAACAAAGAGACATTTGTGTAACTTATTGAAGGTTAGCAAAGCAAACAATTTTTTGTTGTTTTCAAAATTACTTAAATTTTGTATTAGATCTAGTAAGAATTAAGCCATTATTTTTGTAATAAAATAGAAGGTTTTATTTACCATAGTTAAAATTATCCGATTTATTTCGTTTACTATATATTCAACGTTTGCATTTGAAGGCAATGCCTCTCTGATAGGAACCCTTGTCTCTATTGCCAAAAAACTGTGGAAAATCGATTTTCATAGGCTTCTCTTAATACCAATTCTTCACAACACAATTCATTCGCCATAGAAAAAAACGAATGGTAATCCCTTGGTGCGCGAGTCGAACTATAAGCTGGATGTATAAGAACTTACCAACCAAGTTCTCGCAGCTCCTATCGAGACATTATCAATGAGTATGGTTTAGCATTGTTCTCATGAAGCACAAGGCCTCTCTAGTTTCCCAAAGCAGAGCACTTCTGGGCAATTGCTTTCTTTAGACGGTACAATTACCGGCAATACAAATGATACTGACTGATTCTTGACAATCCCACCAGACACAAAACAACAATCCACCTTTTATCACCAATCACCATCTGTTCCAGAATAAGTCATGTGGCACCATACATCGAGCTTCTTTGTGTATCCAGCCTTTTTTAAGTGATTCCAAACAGTTTTTTGTACCATTTTCAACCCTTGGGCAATCGAACCACTACTCACATGGCGAACACTGTAGTCAGACGTCATTTTAGATAAATGGCCTTCCTCATTGGGAATCATATTTTACATCAATATTACTGCAACGAAAATGACAAGACCAAAATTATGCAGGATTGGCTGTTACAGTATCAGGACCATAAACACTATTCATATTTTCAGCTGTCGATTTGCTTTTTCTCGGTTATATAAGACAAATTTTAGAATATAGCGCATTTCCTCTTCGCTAGTGACCATCTTTATCGTGAATTGAAACACTACTGAGTTAGGTGGTCAGTGCATCTCTCGTATATTTTTTGGTAAAAGAAAATATCATCTTTCTAACGTCACGTCATCCTGCGAAATCCAAGTGCACTTTATAGTTTGCGGGATGGAAATCATTAAAGTCATTTATTGCAAAAATAATGGGCGTCTTTTTACTAGACCTAATATATGTTGAATTGTCGTGAAAAAATAATAATATCCATATGTCAAGTCGCGGTAGCGGAGTGATTAGCACTACGTACTGCCATTTGGCAAGTCCCCATGCGACCAATATCCAAAAGTTATAAAAAATTAATTTTAATTTAATTAATTGCGGTCGCCCCCCGGCAGAGAATGTCAACCCCTCCGAGTGTATTTCTGACATGAAATAAAAGTTCCTCGTAAAAAAACCATCAGCCGTTCAGAGGGGGCTTAGTGTAAACTGTAAGTCCCTCCATTTGTTGGAAAAACATCAAGACGCAAAACCACAAATTGGAGGAGGAGCTCGGCGGAAAATCGCTTCAGCGGTTTCAAAGCGCCAATTAGTATTATTATCATTATTGTTATTATTATTATTATTATTATTATTATTATTATTATTATTATTATTATTATTATTATTATTATTATTATTATTATTATTATTATTATTATTATTATTATTATTATTATTATTATTATTATTATTATTATTATTATTATTATTATTATTATTATTATTATTATTATTATTATTATTATTATTATTATTATTATTATTATTATTATTATTATTATTATTATTATTATTATTATTATTATTATTATTATTATTATTATTATTATTATTATTATTATTATTATTATTATTATTATTATTATTATTATTATTATTATTATTATTATTATTATTATTATTATTATTATTATTATTATTATTATTATTATTATTATTATTATTATTATTATTATTATTATTATTATTATTATTATTATTATTATTATTATTATTATTATTATTATTATTATTATTATTATTATTATTATTATTATTATTATTATTATTATTATTATTATTATTATTATTATTATTATTATTATTATTATTATTATTATTATTATTATTATTATTATTATTATTATTATTATTATTATTATTATTATTATTATTATTATTATTATTATTATTATTATTATTATTATTATTATTATTATTATTATTATTATTATTATTATTATTATTATTATTATTATTATTATTATTATTATTATTATTATTATTATTATTATTATTATTATTATTATTATTATTATTATTATTATTATTATTATTATTATTATTATTATTATTATTATTATTATTATTATTATTATTATTATTATTATTATTATTATTATTATTATTATTATTATTATTATTATTATTATTATTATTATTATTATTATTATTATTATTATTATTATTATTATTATTATTATTATTATTATTATTATTATTATTATTATTATTATTATTATTATTATTATTATTATTATTATTATTATTATTATTATTATTATTATTATTATTTTTATTATTTTTATTATTATTATTGCAAGCTGCCTTTCAACATCTCCATTTATTTATCTATAAACTTGTTTTCAAACTAGACATGACTGAGACAATTTTAAAACTAGCAGAAGAAGAAGAAGACAGATTTTAATAGTTAGTAGTTCTATTAAAGAAATAACACATCACAGATGTGTGTAAAAGCATAAAAAACAAAGCTAGATATGGAAATATATAATATACTTATGCCTTAGCCAGGAGTGAATGACTTGTTTTTCTTCTATTCGCCGTCTTCTCTAGGAGACTGATAGTTTAAGTTTGAGTTAGGATCCCCCATTAAAATAATTATGGTTTTTATATAAAGAAAAAAAAACAGGATCTGCAAGACATACCAAAGTTTGGTCATTGAAATCACTAGAATTGGTTCAATTTCCCCCAAACGCAGGGATTCGAAAAATATGTAGTAAATATACTGATTTTCATGAACTAATCTAAACATGAAGCAAATGTAAGTTCAATTTAACAGTACATCCCCCATATACAATAAAAACGGGTTTCATCAAATCCTTCAGTTGACTAAAAGATTGACATTCAAAAAATCAACTTGGAATAAAAGCAACTGTCTGGAAACAAAATTCTTAAATAATTTTCCCACCAATTTCAGACCACCTCAACAGAAGACGTTCGCGACTTCACGCGAGCTTTGAAGAATAAATTCAAGAGTCGCAAATATTTCAAGAAACATCCACGTGTCGGCTATTTGCCGGTGCAAAGTGTGCTCGAGGGTAAGTGAAAGATATGAAATACATACATATATACATACGTGTATGTATATTTCAAGCGTGATAAATAAAAAATAACTATTTGCCCCACAATACAGGCGACGCATTGGAAAGTCCAGCACCCAGTCCACAGCACACCACACATACACTGCAAAATGATATGCATTCACGTCTCGAAATGTACGCATCCCGTTTGGCACAAGTTGAGTATTGTACCGGTTCCAATTCAACGCCCGACAGTGATGATGAACATCAACTAATCGCCCAGTATTGTCAAGCATTGCCCACAAATAATGGCAGTGGCCCCAAATCACCCGTGCAAGTGATGGCCGCCATGGATGCTGAACAGCGGGAAGAGCTCGAAGCGATTATACGTGATTTAGAAGAGGAAAATGCCAATTTACAAGCAGAATATCAACAACTGTGTACCAAACAGAGCAGCACAACACCCGATGCCGATGGTGGCATGCAACATTCAACTTCCGCTATGGGCGGACTAGCAGCTGGTGCTAATGTCGCTGGCGGTCAGGGCGAACATGGTCAGGTAAATGCGGAATTCACTTAAATTGCATGCGCAAATAGAATAACAGAGACTGCATTTTTAGGATATGATTGCGGAGGCGAAATTGCTACGCCAACATAAGGGTCGCCTTGAGGCTCGCATGCAAATACTGGAAGATCACAATCGTCAACTGGAGGCACAATTGCAGCGATTACGTCAATTGTTGGACGAGCCGAACAGTGGTGCTGTTAGTGCTGCTGGTTCGGCTTTGAACTCCAAGCCGAATACATTGCAAACACGTTCTGTGACCGCATCACAACTGAATACCGACTCACCGGCGAAGATGAATCAACAGAATGGTCATTATGAGCAAAACACAAGTGAGTATGGGAGCGAAGTAGAGGGAGGGGTTAGTGAAGTGGGTAATTTTATACAAAAATTATAATTAAGTTTATTGCTTATTTACAAGCCATTGAAACAATTCTTTTTCAGTTATCATCACGCTCGAATTTAGAGCGTTCGATTAATTTCAATCTTTCTGTTGTCTTTTTTTGATTGTGTAATTAAGATTTTTGTTTTTCCTTCGTTGTAAGCATCTACTCATCGTATTATCGTTACTTAAGTGGGAGATTATTTGTATCTCCCTTCCCACCGCAAATACTTTTAGTACCGTGAAACCAAGCGAAGTTGTCTTAAGTGTTGAGTTGCCTCTGGCCACCTACTCTTTTTGACATACGCATCAAAATATCTCATGAGTTGACATAAAAATTTGCTTCCAAATTTTTATGCCTAAAATTTTTTCTTATCTAATACTGTTATCGCTCTACATGTCATCCCAAATCAAACCAAAATAACAAATAAAAGACTTATGAACTTTCTTCTTCAAGTGTTATCCGAAACAAAGTGAGATCTCTCATTATAAACAACAAAATATTATCATAATGGATATATGGCCGCAACTGAAAAGAATCTCGAATGGCCAAAACCCTGGACATTTGAACGACCAACAAATCTAAAGTGACTAAAGACTATATCAAGTAGTTTCCGTCATCGACGGACATTTGCTGCGTTTTTTAAATTCCTGACGCAATTAAACAAAGCCGACAGATGTATCTAAGACTCATGTTCTAGTAAAAATTCTAAGGTTTATTTGTGTCCAGATTACAGATAAAGAAACATGACCTCAACTGCTTTTGCCACTTTTAGACGTGTTGCTGATAAATTTCACTTTATTTTGCACCTCTAGAAAAAGCTTTTTCAATCGATTGTCGCCGAAAGGGACTAATTTCACAGAGAACCAACTGACTCTGGTCCACGAACGTCAAAGTCGTTGTACTTTTTTCATTTCTGAAGTAAATGAAGCCGCAGCGCAATTTGTTGTGGACTTTATAGGGGTGTTTTTGTTGTTCTAACCGCAAAAATATTCTCCAATTACTTTTTGAGGAATATTGTGGGAATGACAGTTATTGGCCGCATAAAATATCCGTGTCGTTCCGGTATAAGGACTCGACTGTCGCGGGAGCTTTTGGTGATTGATTTTGGTCGCCTCTTACGACAGGCATGCCCAGACCGCGGGTGAATTTTGTAGAGTTAGTAAGAGTCGGACTGCCTGCTGTTTTCGGGAAGTTAAGCTTTGCTTCAAAGGCCACAAAATAGAGATCTCAATCGTAACTGGTTGACTAGTTGAACACTGTAAATCAGTAGGCACAAGCCAAAACCTTTAGGTTTACAAAAAAAAATTTAATGTCACTGGCTGCTCTCGCAATCATTTAGAAAACCTTTTCAGCAGAACAATCAGAGTGAGAAAACAAAAAACAAGAACAGGAGGAGTCTCTATAGAAACTAAAAACAAACTAAAAATGTACTAGAACATGAGTTATTTAGTCCTTTTTTTTTGTTTAACTATGAACCTGTTCAATATATACTTTATTCGTCTGATTTTAAGTAGAAATTAAAATCCTTTTGGTAATCTCCAACAAGTACTTTCTTTTTTTTTTTTGGAATAAGAAATGTGAAGTAATTTTCAATAACAAAAAAAATTATGAAAATATGTTTGCACAACCATGAAACAGTAATTTAAAGGTAATTTCATTTCCTCTTCGCAGTCGGCTTCATAACTAACTGGCAGTAAGCGTGCTGCGCAATTAAAAAGTGCAAAACCTTAAAAAAAAATATTTCAAAAAAAATAAAAACACATAAATGTAAAAATAAAAAAAAGGTCAGATTTCGGTAATTTACTTTGTTGTTGTTGTTGTTGTAACCGCAAATTATTCCCGAATTGGTTTTCGGGGAATATTGCGGGAGTTACAGTCCTTGGCCGGATAAAAATCCGGGTCGTTCCGGTATAAAGACCCGACTTTCGCGGGTACTATTGGATTTTAGTCGCCTCTTACGACAGGCATGCCTTACCGCGGGTGAATTCTGTAGAGTAAGTAAGAGTCGAACTGCCTGCTGTTTTCGGGAAGTTAAGCTTTGCTTCAAAAGGCGCAAACTAGAGATCTCAATCGTAACTAGTAGACTAGTTGAACACTGTAAATCAGTAGGCACAAGCCAAAACCTTTAGGTTTACAAAAAAAAATTTAATGTCACTGGCTGCTCTCGCAATCATTTAGAAAACCTTTTCAGCAGAACAATCAGAGTGAGAAAACAAAAAACAAGAAACAAGAATTCTATGGAGACTAAAAACAATTTAAAAATCTACTAGAACATGAATTATTTAGTCCTCGTTATTGTTTAACTATGAACCTGTAAACTACTAAATACTTTATTCGTCTGTTTTTAAGCAGAAATTAAAATCCTTTTGGCCGGGTCGTTCCGTTATAAAGAACCGACTTTCGCGGGAACTATTGGATTTTAGTCGCCTCTTACGACAGGCATGCCTTACCACGGGTAAATTCTTAAGCCCCTAAACCGCAGGGGCAGTAATTTACTTAGTACTAGAGCTCGCCCGCGACTTCGACCGCATGGAATTTAAAAATGAATTTTTTTGTTGGGTTCATTCGAAACAAAACCCCGATCAAACAGCTCGTTCACTTATGCACTTCTGTGAAAGAATAGTTACCACTTCATATTGACTTATAAAAAAGAGCAGTCTACAATATTAAACACCTAAGTCAACTTTCCGGTTGAGAAAGTGTTCCCCATCTTAATCTTAGAAAAGAGCTACTCTGTACCAAATTTCGTATAATTCGAAAAATTTTCAAATAATTACTTATCCTCAATCATTTCTCATCGGAAGCCTGTGTCATACGCAGAGTACGCTCTCCAAGTTTGAGGTTGTATGATCAGTGGTTTAGACCTTGAGTAAGTATTGTATGTATATAAAGTTATATAAAATATCGGTAATAATCGGTGGTTAACAATGCCTATTGCCATTCTGAAGACCAGAGTTTGAGTTCAGGTTCGACCAACATCCAAAAAATATAGAAAATTGTTTGTTCTAATTACGGTCGCCCCTTGGCAGATCATGTCAAACTCTACAAGGGTATTTCTGACAAGAAATATAGAGATCCTCATAAAAAACCATTCGCCGTTCGACGCCGGAGAATAAACAATAGGTCGTCTATCTATTTGTTGGAAAAAACATCAAGACGCAAAACCATAAATTAAAGACGGAGCTCGGTCGAGAATCCCTTCAATGGTTACAAAGTGCCATTTATATATACAATATCTATACATATGTATATTAAATGAATAACGAAAGAGTGCCTAAGAAAAATGTGTCATATTTCAGTTACCAGACTCGATTAGTCTCAAAATTAATTTTTATTTTTAGACTACGTTGTACTAGCAACTCCTGGATGACCTCAGCCCGTGAGGAGGAAGTCGAGCTGAATGTGGGCTGAACTAGCTTGTTGATAGAATGAGAATCATGTTGTGGGGAGTTCTGTGAGACGTCTGGGCATGGTTACTCAGAGTGTTTAAGGGTGCTCAAGGCACTGCCGTAGAAGCTTGGGGTGTGTTTGAGCTTGGACCACTCCCTGTATGTCTTAAGGCCTGAACAGAGCTTAAGATGACTCCAGTCATTGCACTGGTTGCTTCTAACCGAAATAGAGGAATGGTGGCATCCTTATTGGCATATGCAGCAAAAGTAATCCGTCCCTGAGAGGAAGAATTCGAAGTAGTCCAGCTTTGAGGTGTTGCTACGCTTATGCACTCAATCTGATGTTACCTGTTGACCTAAACGGGGTTAGGTCGCCGAAAAGGTGACAGCCTTTGGCCGGATAAACTCCCAGTCAACTTCGTAGCGTAGAATCGGCTGTCTTGTGAGTTGATCTGGGCATTTTAGTACACTAAACTTCTACTTATCCGGACTCAACCCCGATATACTTAACGTATGTTCTGTATGCAATAAGTACCCGCACGACACTAACCATCTCTTTGCATACGCCTCAAACCCAACTCATCTAACCCCCCTCTAAGTCTGGTAGAGAGCCGTCGAAACAGCTTGTTAGTTAACCTCGATGACTTAAGCTGATCTAGCCTGCTTCTAAACGGTAAAAAATTTCGAAATGAAACTACCTTTAAAATTTTGTATCATGCATTTAAATAGGCTAAAAAATATCAGAAATGAAATGCCGAACGTTAGACGGCGCACCTTGTATTTAATTTGTATATATGAGGTGTGATCAGAAAATAACCGTTATATTCAAATTTTGTGAGTTACGTATGTTCGATTTTCGCCTTTTTTCATGTCGTTGGGTCATTTTGGGTTTTCAGTTTGTTTTTGACAGATAAAAAGGTTAGTCGTTTTGGTGTGCTCTTCGTTTTTTAACTATTCGAAAGAATTGGTCACAGAAACTGCTTAAAGTTTTGTGTAAAAAATGGGATTAAATGCGAAAAGACATTTGAAGTACTGACTGTGGCTTTTAGCGAGTCTACTATGAGCAGAACACAAGTTAAATTGTGGTGTAACCGGTTTAGAAAGGCCGAGAAGACGTCAATGGCAATGCTCATCCTGGTCGCCAGGGCACATCAACAACCGATGAAGGCATTCAAGCAGTGAAGAAAATGACTTTGGATCATCATCGAATCACTATCAGAGAGTTTGCTGATGATATTGGCATATCGTTCGGCTCGTTCACGGAGTTGTGTAAAAAACAATCATGAATTTCGAATCCTGATAACGCACCAGCTCACACATCGCTGTTTGTGCGTGTGTTTTTTGGCCAGAAACAAAACCGTTATCATGCCTCAACCACCGTATTCATTGGATTTGGCCTCCGTTGACTTTTTCCTCTTCCCAAAACTAAAGACGCCGATGAAAGCAAAGCGTTTTGCTATGTTTGAGAAGATGAAAGAAGAATCGAAACAAGAGCTATTGGCGATACCAAAAAACGCATTCCACCCACCAGTGCTTCGAGGATTGTAAAAAATGCTG